TTTATTGTTGCTGATATGAAGGTGTGACACATTTTTATTGCCGTTGACTTGGAAAAGCAGCGTGAGCAGGAGGTTTTGTGTGACTATGGGGCAGCTTTTCCTCTGGAAACAGTTGGCCAAAGGTTGACCCTAATTAAGGAGTGTGCTTAAAGTGGCAACGGAAACTCTTACCACCAATGTTTGCCAGAATGAGTGTATTTTCAAGTCACACAGCCTACATAGTGAGTACAGTTGACAGGAAATAACATAATCCCGCCAGGTTTTGCCACTGCCAGAGCAGTTAGATGTTACTGTAAGAATGATGATTCATTGTTTGGCTTTGGTTGTAGTGGAGAATCTGCACCAAGCACTGCCCTATAGGTAGTGTTTGAATAGCCTACAAAATATTAAATGTCTGGCATAGAACTTAACATTGACTTGATTACAGCAGACATGTGGTGATATAACACACACATACAGGCATACACATGCAAATCATTAGCCCAAGATGTAGGCTCCAACAATGTCATCCACGTAAGAGTTATGATCAGAGAAAACAAGTTGCCTCAAAATAAATCAGGGCTCTTATGTACCAGGAAAGCTGTGCCATAATTAAAGGAAAAAACAAGCTTGGAAACACACACTCGCAACATGAAATAACCCCGACAGCTTCCCATCCTGTATCCTGTAGTGTTGGTATATTATGGTATTTTCCCTCAAAATAACTTACAATACACAGTTTACGTAATAAAACATAATAGGCTACATAAATAACAGTTGGCCTGTATGTTCAAAAAAGGTTTTTAGTTTGTTTTAAATGTGTGTTCTTGTATTCATTTAGTTTCCTGACTTGTTAAGAATTAAGATTTCTCCTTTAATTAATGCCAGTAAATCATTTGTCTGTTGACCAGTTGACACTTGTTTGTCCCAGAGACTGAAAAACAGTGTACTCTTTGCCAAGGTCAGTGCTCCCAACGCAGCTGGCTGGAATCCCCCAGACTATGTAACACAGACTAGTGCAGCTCTGCACGTATACACATCTCCTCCTCCTCCTGCTCTCCTCTATTTGTCTCCCTCTCTCATTCCTCTGTTGTGTTGGCACCACAGGAATCAAGCAGAGAGGATAACAAAGTGTTAACAGACAGTTGAGGCCTTTAAGCACACTTGCTTACTTTGTCTTTAGCTATGCTGTCTGTTTTTTTTTTAAAGGCTGATACACCTTAAAAGCATTCAACAATTCTGGTGTAAAAGTTCCTTTGTTCATGAAACGGTTATTGTAAAATTCCCTAGCAAAGACCACACTATCAACATATAATTTGATTGATTTATTGAAACAAAATGATTGTGTGCAATGCTTGAACTTGCTGCACAGCTTTGCTTTGCTATTGTGTTCTGGGGAAGCTCTGGTGGGAAACCTGCCGTAGCACCTGGGCACAACGGACCCCCTTGTGACCCCACGGAGAAGTAGAAGATGAGGAAACAAGGGGGGATATGGGAAAGAGAAGAGGAGATGGATTAGGGGGGTATTTATGGAAATGCCAGGAGTGGCATGATTGAGGTGTGGTTCTGCTGCTCTTGAAATACTGCTTCTCTGTTTCGGCTTGTGTTTGATTCAAGCCTGCACATTTTAGTTATGTTCTATAAGTAGACCATTACGTGTAGGCTATGGAAGTTTGTGCTAGCAAGATTAAGAATGATGCATGCTGCTGCTTGACAAATATCATGCCTGTAAGATGACCACTTTTAAAACAGGCAGCAGCACTATCAGCAGGTATAGTGGTCAGCTTGTTTGTTAAGAAAAGTGGGGAGAGCGGGATGTGACTGAGAGAGAGCGAGAGAGAGGGATTTGGGTAAAAGGAGGCTGGAAGACAGATCCTGAAAAATGCACAGTGCGCAGAGAGAAAGGCAGCAGGAAGAGGGTTTCTTGAGCAAAACCAAGGAAATGACAGCAGAGGGAGAAGAAAGTGAGTGAGCGAGGATAGAGAGTGACACGGGTTAGTGAAGTGGTATGGCAGGGGAATTTAAGGATCAACTGTGCCACTAGCCTTACTTAAAATAGCTCACAGAGATATAGGGGAATTTTTCTGTCTGCAGTTAAAAGGCCTAAACCGTTTTGTCCATTCTGCACTTTATTAGCAACCATGAAATACAGTTAATCCATGAGAGAGTGGTAAAAAAAATAGTCATCATTAGAGTCGGTATAACCCCAAGGGACACTGATTTAGAATGTGAAACCTATAATGTTTGTAACCTTTTTAAGATGTATTTCCAACATCTGTTTGTATGTACATTACATTGTGCATTACTGTGCTTTAGTTAGTACCTGCTGTAGTTATTTCAGGTCCTATTTGTAGAAATGAAGCTTAAATTCAATCAAGACTCTTCTTATGCCGCTCATTCACATTTCTCTTAGTCTCTTGTCCAACTTTTTTCTTAATCAGCATCATTTCTTCATTAGACGTTGACTCTTTAAGTAAACCGGATTCAGCCACCTTCTCCATCAGCCAATTATGTTGTTGCTGTCAAACTTTAAATCGGCTCTCCTCTAATGTCAGCCGTCATTTCATTGCAAATCGTCATGACCCCCCTCGACCCCATTCACCTCCAGTACATCACTTCCAGCGCCCAGCACTGAGCTCACCAGGAGCCTGTTCCTCTTCACATCCATCCTTATCGCTATTCTCTTCATCCCATCTCACCCATGAAAGGCTGTTTAGGACACAGGTTGGATCTACACTGGCCAATGCTCACACTAAGCAGTCTCCACCTTCCTTTACAGACACAGGCACTTACACACACACCCACAGAGGCCTTTACTTTATCAGGAAATATACTTCCTGGGAAGCAGCCCGGACCACATCCAGGGAACGTGAGTGTGTGTAAATGTGTGTTACACATCTTATCACCACAATATGATTAAAAAAAATACATTGGACATATTTTTTAAAAAGCACACAAATCAGAGATCATTGGTTATTTTACTGATGCACATTCAGAAAGGACAAAGGCATTTCCTTTTTGAAGTTATAGGCATACATGTCATTTTTAAAAAGGTGGAAGATCCTTGCAGAGAATGACAAGAAACCCTAATCAGTGAAAAGCTTGATAAATCTGATAAATAATTAGTTTAACCTCACATGTATCAGCATTTGGAGAAAAAAATAACCAACACTTATTTGTTGATATATGTCAACATATTATGTAATTAATGATAATGAATTTGGATAAGTGGAGGTGCTCTGCATACATTTTGCATTCCATGGAAATACTGTATTTTTATTATTCATCTAGTCCTCTCTTCTTCTTGGGTGGCCTAAACATAAGGGAAGCGAGCTTGTGACTGGGAGGTCATTGGTTCCCTGGACCAGCAGGATAAATCCGGGTGGGGGAAAAAAACAGATAGTGCTTGGCCCCTAGCCCGAACCGCTCCAGAGGAGCCAGTAGATCAGACTGTGGTTGTACTAAGTAGTTTCCAGTTGTGAATGTGTAACTGTACGAATGTGATCACTAAATAAAGGATAAAAATTATATAAATGTTGTTCATATATTTGTATATATACTGTATGTATAATACATACAATAATTGGTGGAATAATTCCTATTATAAAGATATAAATACAAGCATATGAGTGTGCATCATTGACCGTGAAGACTCCTTTTCAGAAATATACTGCTGTTGCATACGGAAGATATCACTGAAAAATAATCAGCCTGTTATAAACTGGATTACTGTTATCTGTATGTGTAAGCGCAAGCATATGTGCATGTGTGTATACAAACATCCCCCATTGTGTTGGGGACAGTAGCGTGAGAGCGACCTGAGGGTCAGCTGCGCATCACATCAAAGATTTGGCTGTCTGTAAAAGACCTCACTGTCAACACACACACAAATACTCCCATCTGAGACCCATGTGCAACTCTCTATGCTCCTCACACTAAACAATCAGGTATGACAGGCGTGGTCTTTCTGGGTCCCAGCAGGCCAAAAAGACAAAAGACCTTCAGGAAGAGGCCGTCCACTCATCCTCACTGAGGATACAGATCTCTCCCGCACAAACACACACACACACACACACACACACACACACATACACACATTCACACAGGTTCACTGGGTATGCACAAAGCGTTACAAAGAATTAGCATTAGCAATTATTTTACATGATTTGAGTTGATAAAGTGTGTTCTTTTCTATCTAACTTTATTATTTAACTTGCCGAAACTCATGATAGATATATTCTGTCAAAACCATTCTGCTTTTTTCATGCTCCAATAACAAGAATCTGATTTTACATCCACAGCTGGATATTGCTGAAGCTCGATGACTTTCCAAAATTTTGTGATTAAAATTATGTTTTTTATTATCTGACTCTGGTAGAAATGAACAAAGCGCATTTAATTTAACTAATTTTATTTGTGCCATACCCATTGTTGCAACTGAAATAATCCAGGTCGCTCAATCTCTCTGTCCTCTCATGATTTTTCAAATTTGATTAAAAAGTCTGAAGTCTCTAAGAAAGATGTGCAAAAGAAACCTGTTTTTTTGAAAGTGTCCACTCTATGACTACATCCTATTAAGATGTAATCAGACTGTATGTTTGATTGTTTTTTTTTTTAAACCTTGCCAATCCCTCTTTTGCCTGCGCTTTCTCTAAATATTATTATACATATATTTTTAGTTAAAAGTTTTGTATTCCCTTGTGTTTGTACTGTTTGGAAATTGCAATAAAATAAATAAATGTAACCACGTCATGAGCTATAGCGTTGTATCTTGGCGCCCTCGTGTGGCGTAAATATTAATTTGCATTTTCATTTTACTTTATTTAGAGGAGAAATGTCGATATAAGCAAACGCACAATACAAAAAATTAAAATGAAAAATAAGTTTTGGTTTAATATAATCTCAACTACACTATTTTATAATGTATGTTATAATGTTCATTTCTCGTGAGTCCCATGATGGCGCTGTATTAATTCTGCTTACCTTTCCTCACGCATCATGCTGGGAAACTCTTCCGGGTTGTCGTTGGTCACGTGCAAGTTCACAGGGCATGCCGAGGTCGTGTTGTGCTTTTGCTTGTAGCTCGTATTTTTAGCTAGCTTTGGCTGGGACTCGTGATGTGATGGCTTTCCTGAGTTTGTTCATGAGAAGGCAATTGCCGCCGGCCGTGTCCCACTTCGCCCGGACAGTGAAGCTTGTCCGGCCTCCATGCGCCGGAGCGTCGCTGAGGAGGCTGCACGGCTCGTCCCGGCTGCGGCTCGCGGAGAAGGGGCCTTGGGCGAAGAGCCGGGGGCCGGAGCAGCACTACCAATTCTCAGACCTCGACAAGGCGGACGCTTTGGTAGGTTCGGTCCTGGAGGAAAATGCTGTAACGTTATATTCAGATCAAGGAGTGAGCTTATTTAATTAAAGGTAACTGTGAAATGCCCCAGCTACCTTTGCTTTCGTTTCTCATTCCATCTTGAGATCTACAACTACAGAACTGACCACAGTAACGTTAAATCCACAACGTTTTTATAAGAAAACATACGAAACCGATTAAATTAGAGGTTGATATTCCTAATAGTGTTCTACTTTTTGCAGATGCTGAGAAAGTCACACGAGACAGGTAACCTAAATAAATAAATTCATGCTTGAAATTTAACTTTTGTTTTAAACCCCGAACCTCCTAGGCTTACATGAAAACGTCTACTCATACTGATGTGATGAAACTTTAAAGTACTGTATGTTGCCTTTCTGGACACAGGACAGGTGCTCCATCTTTTGGTGGTAATGCTTGGTGCGACATCTTTATTTGGGTGCAGCCAGACATTGTACATTTCTTGAAAGACTTAAGTAGGTTTCAATATTGAGTTAAACATTTAGTATTTTAAAACATAACAATAACACAATAGTTATTAATTGACAATAGGTGCAATAGAAGTACAATAAAACCAAACACCAAAATAGATCTATCCCACCTTTCTGTATCTATCAACAAAGATGCAATTTGTTTTATTGTTTTGCAGCTGTAAGGAGCTCCTCCATGTCCTCATTGCGGAACAATAGTGTACATCATCCACATTGCTTTAAAAAAGTGTTTTAGTAGTATAATAATAATAACATCTTAACATCACAATGTAATAACATCTTTGAACATACTTAATTTTATTACTTTTCTAGTGTGATTACATTTACTCCAAACCTGCGTACAAATAGTATGTAAAATTGGTACACGGCCTCTGATCTTGGTATGCTTATTGATTAACTTTTTTTTGTGAATTTGCTTGAACATAAAAGCTGTAAGGACAGTATTTATATTTTCATATGAATGTATGTAAACAGTGTGATTTCTTCTGGCTGTCTGCACAGATTTTTGATCAGTTTGTAACGTTTATTTCTGACTGACTGGTTTGCAGGATTCCTGTCGTGGTTCAGGAATGGCCTGCTTGCGACTGGGATCGGAGTCATTGCATTTGTCCAGAGTGAAGTGGGACGAGAAGCAGGATACGGTACAGGCTCCAACACTAAAATCAGCACACGCCTAAACTCTATAGTAGTGCAATCAATCAGTGGCTTGAGATTAAAGTAACAAAAGGTTGCTATAGTCCAAAATTCCTTAAAACTTGTAGATTTAAGAAAAAAATAAGGCTGTGAATGCTTTTGAAAATCAATGATGATGAAATAACTAGAATTGTTTTTAAAACTGTAGCATCTAAATGCGTCAATATACCCCAGCTCTTTTTGTCCTAAAATTAATTACTGTCTTAGAGAACCTTGCAGTAGATTTTACTTTTTGATTCTGTTTCAAGATAAATAATTTCACAAGGATTTCTGCAATTGACTAAAATCATCGTGAGTTAATAATGAGCCGAGACTCTTGATATCTACAGCAGTTGTAACCGATGTCATGTTTACTTGAAATGCCAGTTTTGAGTGTTAAATTTGTATTAAGCAAGACCTTCATTAAATCATTAAATACTCTGCCATTGAGTTTTTAAACCATGAAAACAAAACTTACCAGCAATGGTGCTAAATTAAGTCATGAGGTTTAAATTATTTATGCCAGAAGATCAATCAGTCTCTTGAAGATCAATCATAGACACACACGTAGAGATGAGGACTCATGTACTTTTATTCTACCTAAATCATTTTGTAGACTAGGGAATATTCTGTTTTATCTTTTACTTTCACTAAAATAGACCCAACCTCCCGACTGTCCCAGATTTATTTGAATTTGCCCTACAATAACACCATGTCAATCTGTTTCTCCTCAGCCTTCTTTATCCTGGGAGGTGTGTGTGTGTCGTTTGGCGGTGCCTCGTACGTCGGCAGCCTTTTCGCCTTGCGGAGGATGATGATGCTCTCTGTGCCTGCCCTGTTGCTGCAAAGCGCCGTGGTGGGCAGCATCGCCCTCTTCTGGCTCGGCGCGGTATCCCTCTACATCGGCCGCCTGGAGGTGGAGATCATCCACGAGGACGAGGAGGGGGAGGACGAGGAAGAGTGCCGAGATTGCCGTGAGAGGCGCGAACACCGGGGTTACCGTGGTTCCCATGACAACAGACATCATGACAGTGAGGACAATGACAGCAAGGGGCCGAACAAGTAGACGTCTTGGATGGGGAGTGGAAAAGGGTGTGAGTGCTGCGTTGATTCAGGGTGTGTGTGTGTGTGTGTGTGTGTGTGTGTGTGTGTGTGTGTGTGTGTGTATGATTGATGTTCAAATTATTGTGACAGTGAAGAAAGACTTTTAGACCTTTTGGAGAACTGGTCACAAAATGCTGAACTTTTGGTAGTTTGATTACATTCACTTCTGGTGAATGAATGTGACTTTTTTGTAAGATTTCATATCAAAGCTGCTTCACTAACATTATCAATCTGTCTGAAAATTGTATTGATATTTTTTAATTTAAATTATTATTTACATCCTCACAAACACACGCACACTGCAGAGTCTCACAGAGAACATCAGCCATTTCACTTTTCACGAAACTGTAAGCAGTTAAATCTTTGGGCCATTCCACTGGCTTTCCTCAATCAACTGTTGTCGTCTTCTCATCTTGTTCAACAGGATTAACTGTGATTGACTACTTGAAGTTTTCATTAAAGTCTTGAAATAGAAGAAGCTGGTTATGATATGCTGCAAGGTCTAGAAAGAACGAACATATTATGTGCATGTTTTTTTAATTACAAATCAACGAGGGCTTAGAATATATTTTTACAGAACTTTACCTTCCCTGAAGATTTTTTTTTAAATTTTGTTTTGTAAGGACAATAGCATTTTTTTTCGGTTTTTGTGTGTCATTAAGTCTAGACTTTTGGAAACGGTAATTTTCACAGCTTTTTCTGGAGTTATATATAATACGCGGTATTGTTGATGTACATGTACAGTACCTCCTTAAATGTAACCATAACCATACCATGTTTTACCTTTTGAGTGAATTTCAAACCATCTGGTAATCACTAGAATTGCTCTCTTAACGGATGTAAAGAATAGTTAGTAGGATGGAGGAAGTTGATATTGAGTGTGTGGCAAGGTGGGTTCACTACTGTTTACTTTTGTTTGTGGGTGCACCACTTTTAATGCACCTTACTGTACATACAGCAATAAACCGATCTATGTCCGAACCTCAGTGTGTGCTTTTATTTTTTACTTTCACATTTGAATGGACCAGTGGTCCTCACAATTCATGACACCTGCAAACGGTCACCAGGGTTATAAGAAAGACAAAGAAACAGGACTGCTTGACCAAATTAAGTGTGTGTGTGTGTGTGTGTGTGTGTGTGTGTGTATATATATGTGTATATATATATGTGTATATATATATATATGTGTGTATATATATATATATATATATATATATATATATATATATATATATATAAACATTTTAAAGGGACACTTCAATAGACTATTATTGTTTTTTTGGTAGTTAGATCAAATCCAAATTTGTCAAGGAATTTCTACCACTAAAGCCAACAGGCCCTAAATATGGCCCTTTAACTGGTTAATATATCCACACCCACCAACACCCTTGTACCCCTCTCTGACACACCAAGAGAAGGTTGTCCAAAGGTAGTCCATATTGAGTCTAAAACTAGTGGAATTAGCCTATAATGCACTCACCACATATACATTTTAAATTAAGGAATGTCAACTCCCATAAGTTTGATAAAACCGATAAATTTCTCTAAAGTACAAAGGACATGACGTCAGTGTCCTCAGTATTAGGTGGGACCCTGGTGGGGATGCAGGGGCGTAAAGCAGATTTGAAAGCGCTCGCACAGAATTCATACCTAACTACACACATTCAATCACAGCCAATAATCAGCACAAATAAAGCGCTCTCTACATGTAACCCAGTGCTTCATAAGAAGTTGTCGTATTTTTGGGATTATGCAAACAAGACCCACTTTAATGTGCAAGTGCTGTCCGAGTCAGTAACTCTCCCTACAGTAGGAATCAAAAGATACACAAACTCTCCATACACGCATAATTTTTATAATGAGCCACTCATCTGTGAGCATGCATGAATATATGCGCTGAACTGAGCAACATGTGGTTGAGTGTGTGTGGGAGTGTTGGAGATGGGGGGGGCTTTGTCTGTGATAACTATCAGTGACTGGTTTAGGGCGAAGGTCTGTGATATCTCCCAGCCATCGACACACAGCGTTGCTGTCGAGACTCACCTCAGAGTCACCCTCTCTTCCTCTCCTCCTCCTTCGCTCACGCTCACACTCACACTCTCCTCTCCTCCCAGGGAGTTTCAGCGCAGTTGTGTTTCACATGCAGGGTGTGTCTAGATGGCTGCTGCAGTGTGACCAGGACCCCACCGCCTCCCCTCGATCCCCTCTCCTCCCTCCTCGACTCTCTCCCTCAGATCCTCTTCTCCCCTTTCGCCCTCCAGTCTTTCCTTTCTGGACTCCTCCTCACGTTCGCTTCTTCTCCCCTCCCCCCTTCTCCTCCGCGGATGCATCTGACTGCTCAGGTCTGTTTGGCATGCAGGAGGCTCCTGAGGCCTGGCGCGTCTAAAGGGCAGGGCGCCCAGAGGCAGGAGACGCGCCCTCACTGACAAACACCATCCACCCCAGACCCCGAGCGGCTACAGAAACCACAGCACCAGGCGCAGCTCCAAGTCCAGGGCTGGCCTCATACATCTCCAAACCTGAGCTGCACATCTACACTCTCAGCCCTGAAAGTAAGAGCCATAACCTCTGCTTATTTTGAGAGCAGATTGCTCATCTGCTCTCAGGTGTTAAATGCCACGCCTATGGATCAAAGGATCTGCCTTAAGAAATGCATTAAGCATGCAGTGGCCTTCTTCTGGCTGAGAGGAGAAAGGGGAGCTTGTTGGGAAACAATGATAGAGATGAAAATAGTATAGGTAGGAGAGGAAGGGTGGAGGAAAGAGAGAGTTATGGAGGTGTAGTAAGCCCATGTCAGGTGGAGGCTGTGTGGATGTCTCCCTCCATCCCTCACTCTATTATTCCTACCCATATTTTTACTCTTTAAAATTCATTTACATGTGCTAAGGTATTTCCCCCGGGAGCGCGACTCCAATTCAGGGGGTAAGATAAGCCATCAAAGTCAGTGACAGAGAGGGCATATGGGTGACTCAATGACAGGCTGTGTAGAAGACAGTCAGGAGAGCTGCCATGACTTGTGCACACACACACACACACACGCACACAAATAGAGCTCAATGATTTCTACTGTATGAGTACACCTTTACTTCGCCGTATAAAGACTGTGCTCCACAAAAAAGAAGATATAAAGATGAAACCGGAGGTAATTGTGCAGCATCACTCACAGCATGTCACCGCGCGCACACACACTTATATAGTACAAACGGTTTTGCACGTACAATGGCATTTTCTCCCCAACAACTGCTCTTGTTTAGTATGCGCTTCCTTTGGTCTTGAGGAGGAATGATCCTCACTCTAATGAACTAGGGCCTGCCACTTGAATGTAAAACAGGATTTAACCCGTCTTCAATGTCAGAGCCCCTCCCTGGGGCTGCTTCAAACAACACACACACTCGCAAATTCATGGAGATGCACACATACACACACACAGACACACATACACACAGACACACACACACAGGGTGTGTATAGTATCTCATAAGTGAGACACTCCATATAGTCTATGTGCTATTCTATGTGTTCATTTCAGACGTATTTATGGCACAGTCTTTGCTGAATACAACAGACTCGAGAAAAATCCTGCTTCATGCTGGGGTTGTGCTCACCTGCTCCCCAATTGACTTTTTATTAGGGATCAATATTATTGTGTTTTGTCTTCTCCTGGGATAGGCAAGATCGCCCACCAGCTTTGTTGATGACACAAAACTACTGGCAGTGACACAGATCTTTTATATTTATTCTACCACTGACTGAAAGGCTATACATACATGTCTGTTAGATGCCTGAAATATTGATGTTTTGTGAAGGAGGTGCATGTTAGTAGCTGATATGAATACCAACAAATTGAATGCATGCAAATGTAGTGTAGAACACGGGTTTTCAAAGTCTGAGACTGTGGGCCTCTCCTTAGACAAAGCTTGGGAAATGGCGCCCCCCCTCCCTCCACATATTTAGTTTACTTGGTATGTTTTGCTCAATTCCTGGATGCCTATGGGATCATGATTATATTATTTGATCCTATAGACACTCAAAATAGCCTAATATTGCTGTTTGACATGACTTCTGACTACACCAAAGTTTGTTTCTGACTCTGATGGGGGGAAAAGAGTTCCCAAAAACTACTGTATCTCTGAACTCTCACACGTAGGCTATTCTACGTGACCTCATTTTGATAACTAATGCACTTCCCCTGAAACTGTTTGGAGCCCCCCTAGGGAGGCCCACCTCACACTTTGAAAAGCCCTGGTGTAGAACAAACTAGTTTAACTTAAAATGTGTTTCCAAATGATGTTTGAATCACATATGAAACCTTAGTGAACTATGTAAAATGTACATTCAATCATGCCACTTCATATATCTTAATTGTTGAATGTATGTGCTGCACAGAAGCAAGAAAGAAACAACAAAGCCTTGAGTTGTGCTCCTCTACTGGAATATTTTATTGTTATCGTCATCTGTATCACTGTTTCTTTTTACATTTGTTCATTTTATTTGATGAGTAGGTGGAGTATTCACAAAGATGGGAGGATAACGTTAGCTTCACAGTGATGGGCAAGGGGTTAGCTATTTAATTCAACCAACCAAAAAAAACAAAAAAACATACACACTTGTACAAGAGAGCGCGCACGCACACAATCGCACGCACACATTATACCACCGAGAATATGTGTGCTCACACATATTTGTATGTGACAGCTACAGTGATCTGAACAATTAGACCCCCCACCCCAACCACATTTTTCTTTCAGACATCAGAACATCAGAGAAACTGAGCCCTCAGATCAGACAGTCGACCAGGAAAACAAAAACAATGTACATACAGTGTCTGGCATCATGGCATCATTATGAAGACTTTAATCACATGATAGATCAAAGGACTATAAGTGCTTTATCTGATGTTTATTTCTGAGTTTATGTCTGAGAATCACTGGTCATTATTGTTTAAATAAAATGTAATAATGCGGTTGAATTGACAGCAACAATTTGTCAAAAACGGTCACATTTTCAAATGTTCCGTTACACTGTGGAATAAAGATTCTCAATAGTCTGAGTGTCTTTTAGATGACCACCAAATTGTTTGAAATATTCTGAGCACGAATTTCATTTTATTTTTTCATACAAAAAGTGTTTTTTTCTTTCAGTCCTGAGAGGAATCCCAACCAATCAGCATGAAACAGAAATTTAAAGTGTTTTATATTTCCACTTTTTAATTTAAAACTTTATTTTCAGTTGACTAAATTGAACTGAAACCAATATCAGATTAATTCTGGTTATTTTTATTGACCTCCAATGGTCGCCTTTTAATGACCACATGTGGTCTGTTTATTTATCTGCCTTTTTAAATGACCATTTATCCCCTCTACCACACTGTGATCAGGCTGATATGATATATTAGTGACCTTCATTCCATTGTTTTCTGTTTTAACAGGTTCACACAGTGAGTGTTAAGTGATGAAGTGCTTTGAGTTCACACCAGAACAAATTTCAGTAAGTGCTCAGAAAAACAGAGGTTTAAATGACAACACTTCTTTCCAGCACCATTTCCACTCCTAAATAATTTTCAGAAATATCTTTTTAGAGAATAATAAAAAAAGTATTTTTGGATGATATTGTACATCCAATAAAACAATGCTATTTAGTATGTTTAGACACATTTTTCACACCATCCGTCCATCTGTTTTAGATGGGATAAAAAAAATCTTAAACCAATCAAAAAAACCTTTCATACACAAACAACCGCAGCATCATACAGAATATACTATCATTCTCAGTTAAACAAATTACCTTTCTATAATCAAAAACAGATTTAGCGTCCTGTCTGCATTGCATTTTCTTCCCTTATATATAATGGAATGTACGGGACTACATTATTCATATTTTTGCCCCAACAGTGTGCTTTAAGTACGGCTGACTGATGAATACTTTGATTTGTTTTACTATTATTATTTTGAATCTCAATACAAAAACACCAGAGGGCTGTCTGCTTCTATTTTAAGGGAAACCTTATATAATAATAATAATCAAATTCTCACCTGGATCTCCGTGTAAGAGACGTTTTTATAATACTGCAATAATAAAAATGTATATTCCAAAGTCACTTTCATTCCTACAGACAAGTGTCCATCTCTGTCTACTGGCTTTAGGGTTAATTGGGTTAATTGGAGTGACAGTGAGGAGGACGTGAGCTGAGGGTCTTTATGGTTTTGTCTCTATATACAATATGGCTTCTCTGAGTGGAAGAGACACAGAAATCAACACAGTCATCTAGAGAAAGACACAGAGCAGAGTTCATTATTGTTGTAGAGATGGAAAGTCTTGAGGGACAACCAGTCAAAAGTTTCTATGTCCTGTTTTCTCCAAGAGTCACTGTCACTTGTCCACAACAGGCAGACACAATAATTCCCCGTGGCAGCGACTTGTCACATATTTTAGATTGCGGTTATTCAACTCATTGTCCAATTAGTAACGTCCTTAGAGGCTTAATGTCCTGCCACTTCTGTCTCTCCTGCCCTTTTCAATGTCTCTCTTTCTGGTCTGTCACTCCGCTCCGTCCTTCATTTTTATCTCCTCCTCTCACCTCCTCCCCTCTGAGTCTCAGTCCTCCTCGGAGCCTGCAGCCCCCCTCAGTCCATTCATACAGAAGGGCAGGCCGGAGGAGAAAGGGCTGTCAGACGGGGAGAAACCACTGAAGGGTGGCAAGCCGGCCAACCGCTGTAGGTGGGGGAAGAAGGCTGGCGGGGGTCCTTTGTGGTGGTCTGAGCGTAGCTGCAGGCCATCGCTGTGTCCCACGCTGTGGTGGTGGGAGGGGGGTAGCTCAGGTGGAGCGTAGCGGATAGTGCTGGGAGCGTAGAGGCTCTGAGGGCCCTGCGGGCCCAGGGCGAGGGGGTGGAAGAGGACCCGCCCTGCTGCGCCGCCTGCAGCCAGTCTCTGGAGCAGCTCAAAATCAGGACCTCCACCTGCACCGCCACTGCTCCGACTGACCGACACGGCCCTCTCATCCCGGGGCAGAGGGGAGGACACAGACATGGCGGGGGACAAAGCCGGGGACGGGGGAGTGAACAGACCCTTTGGGGGGGCCTCGCTGCTGGAAGAAGAGTCGGGGATAGGGGTGGTGGGGCTGTCGCCATTGAGGCTGCTGGAGGGTGTGTGTGCATGGGAGGGTTGGGGCTGGGTGGTGTGTGTGTGTGAGGTGGAGGTTTGTGTGTGTGACCCCCAGCGCCCCCCGGTGGTCAGGGCTTCGTGTTCAGTCTTGATGCTGGGGCTGCCAGGCAGGGGAGACAGGGTCACTACGCTCTTCAGCTGCTGGATCACAGCCCGGCCGTTGTGCACCCTTCCGCCCCTCTCACTTCTAGTCGGAGTGTCTCCCCCCCTACTCTGTTTACCTCCCCCCCCCCCATCTTCCTGTTTCAATCTCTCACTGTCCCCCCCTTGGTCCCACTCTGTCTCTTCCTCCTCCTCCCCCTCGCTTTCGCTCGCCAGGTCAGAGGACGCTGATACACTCTCCTCTGCGTGACGGAGCTCCTCCAGTCTGCGGCGGGTTTCGGGAGGAGCACCCTCAGGGTCAGACCTCAGCAGGCGCTTCCTCCTGTCCTCTGTTTGGATGGACGCGGCCGTGAATTTATCTCTGCCTTTAGTGTCTAGGTCATTCTTCCCCACTGAGCTCTTCACTGGTTGCGAGCCTGAAGACAAAGGGATATTTATATGATAAGAAGAGATACAAGCATCAGTGGGCATCATGGAAAGGCAATAATTTGTGTGTAGCATCCTACCACGGGCTTGTGGGGAGCCGTCGGTGGGGGTCGAACTAACTCGAAGCCGTTCTGCTCTTATGTTCTCTGGTAGCTGCAGTAGATCCAGGGGAGTGTCGGGCAGCTCTGTTCGACTGGATGGATGGATAGATGGATGTGAAAATGAAAAGGAGAAAGGTGGACATATACACAAATGATCATCTACCACTTAAAACCACTTACAGCTTTAAAAAAAAACAGTAGCGCAGAGCTGATTTGAGTGAATACTTAGAGATGGAAACAACATATAATCAGCCTAATAACAACCTCCGATAGCCAACTGCCTCACACCCTTCTAACCTCCACCTAACACATTTCTCCAAACAACAGCCCTTATCACACGTACACAAGCACTGACACGCAAAACAGACAGATAGGCAGACCCCGCCCTTCAAGACAAGCACACACACACACACACACACACACACACACACACACACACACACACTATGCCCCACTCAGCAGCCCACCTATACACAGTTAAGCTCAGACAAGGAGGAGGCTGTTGGAGAAGTTAATGAGCTCTTGTAATTACAGCACTAATTAACTAAAACACCATTCAGCCCCAAAATTCTGACATCCATTTGTTGTAATTATATAGCTTCAGTCCAATTAGCATTGAAATTCAGCCTACTCCTCTTGTTTTTGTCTGACTGCTCTGTCGCTGTGCACGTGCATTTTTGTTACGGTGTGTGAGTGTATAACATGCGCACGGATCTTCTGAGTATATTTGCATTAGTTATGGGCGAGTACCTGTATGTGTGTATGCAAGAGGGAAATATGGGAAAAGCATATTTTGATGAGGTTACTGCAGTTGTTGTTCCTGCGTAGCAAATAAATAAAGCCTTAAACAAAAGTGATATTACATTTAAAAGGGTCATTCAAACTTAAATGACATTAAATAGTGAGTAAGTCATGCTGTTTTGTTGTACAAAACTACTGGAGACTCTGCAAGAGTAATGGCTTTCACTCAAGTTTGATCAATGATTTTAAACTATGCACTATGAATAAAATTGACAAAAAAATAAAGTGATTCATTCAAAAAGTCAAACAATTGGACTGCCAATCATAACATTACAGACTGTGAAAGCTTATAAAGCTCTGGGTTATGTCCGACAATTACACTACTTTAACAAAATGAATCTGCTTTGTATTGGTCACTATAATAAAAAATCATTTTAACTTGGAAGACAGTCAGCAATTTAAAATAAATGGTGATTCACTAACTATATCTATATCTAAAATGAATCTATGAAATATAAGATGACTTAAGATAACACAATATTTGCCATTTTATCATTTTTAATATATATAGTTTTCTATGATCAAGATTTATATAAAATTATAAAATAACTATTATCTTTAACATGTACTGGTATTGTGCTATGCTTTGATGTCACTATTTTGAAAATATCAGTTTTCTCATATGTTGGAGGGAGTGAATCTCCAATAATCCCTCTGTATTTCATCATCTATCCCTTCAAAGGATGTCTGTATTGTGCCTGAATATATAAACTCGGTGCATATCAGCAGCCCTAGAGCAAAAAGAGTGGCTCTGCTGTGGTTGTGCTGACCTCAGGACATAGTTGACCCAGATGACGTTGCGTTCGTGGGGGGCTTTGTGGTTGATGGAAACAGTGGCGGTGGACTGGATCCACAGGTAGCCTCCTCTCCTCTGGAGCCAACGGTAGTAACCGGTCACCACCTGGCCTTTCCTCAGTACTGGGAGCAGGTGGCAGGTGGAAAGAAAGATGTATTACAGGAAATGGCAGAGGAGAGGAGAGAAGAAGGTCAGAAAAGAAGTCCGTTACCGGTTTGGCAATTCTTGAAGATGGCAGCAGAGGGCGCCTATCACAACAGGACTGAATGAGATTTCAACAGGCTCTCCTTGATTCATCAAGCCCCCAAGTTCAGACACTATGCAGAATAAGGGGGTGGGGATGAATTTCATATACTACACATGCATATGGATGTGACTCACAGTCCTCATGGCTCTGCCGGAGGTTTTCCAGGTCTTCTACGTGAATGAAGTGGTAACAGGTTTGTCCAACAACCTCTGCTGGGGTCAGATCCATATACTCTGAGATCCTGTAAAGAAATACAACAAAAAAGCGAAAAACACATTTGTTTACTAAGCAGAAGCACATGTATCTTCTAAAACCACCAACCTGCCAACTGCTCCGAAAAGCAATACAAGACAACACACCTTTAAAGAATATGCAGAGCATGTGTTCAACGTCCTTACCATGAAACTTTGAAACAGGGACAAAAACTCTTACCTGTTCTCACAATATGTGACCTGTAGGTCCATGTTCACTCGGAAGACAAACATTTGGCTCTCCATGCGCACTTCATTAAGCGTGGAGGGCGGGAGTGTGTGCGCCAGAGCAACCAATCCCATCGGTCGACGCACGGAACGCGTTGAGCCCGGCACGAGTGCAGGGCGGCAGCGGATTCGTCCTGTCACATGGATTACCTGACAAACAGAAGACAATAGTGTGTATTCCTTTCACACAAGGGCCTTTTTTTTTTACACTATTAAAGGTGAAGAAAATAACTGCAACAACAAGACGAACTCATAAATGTAACATTCATAAATAGACATTTAACATAAACACGATACAAAGTCAGATTCTAAGCTAAAGAATGCAGCAGCACTGGTACTACAGCAGTGAGTGCACTAATCTGTTACGTGCAGCGGTCCAGTGTGAAATAAGGTCACAGCCATAAAACTCACTAAATGCGACCAACCTGGCTGTGCAAAACTACGTGACACGGGCCTGATTGTTATTTTACCATCCCGGGAACAAGCAGGGAAATAGAAAAGTATGCATGACACAAGGTATGTTTTCGAAGTCTGATAAATGATTTCCTCAGACGTCTCTACCTTGTATCCAGAAGACTTGACGTGCAGGCCTCTTTTGGTAAGCGTGGACTTCATGCGGATGAAGAAGCCGCGATCGGGAGGATCGTCAGCAGGAGAATGAGGACTAGACGGAGCTGTTGAGGACGAGAGAGGAAGAGGTAAAACTAAATGATTTCTTTCCAGATTCATGTAATTCTTTTTAACTTTGTAACATTTCTTTGTTGTTTTGATGATGCAAATCCAGTTCAGGGAATGTACCAAAAATAATCATCTCATTTCTTATATCTCTTTCTGTTCTCTCTTCTCAAAATGACAGTATAATCAATACCGGGTTCAGGGGTGCCAGCCAGGGAGGACGTGGATGCGGAGCTGGAAGCGCTCTCAGGGGCTGTGAGACAGCCGGCCTCGGCCCTCAGATGCGGCCTGATTCCCAGCCGCTCTGCCATCTCGACGTGGTCCGCTGGGTGGATGTAGTCAAACACACTGCTGCCGGTCAGCTCCACCTGAAGAGAAACCCATACGCTGATCAAAAACAAGAAGCTTAGAGCACAAATGCCTACACATGAGCAAGTACACACACACACACACACACACACACACACACACACACACACACACACACACACACACACACACACACACACACACACACACACACACAGGAAAAATCAATATATGTTATGACAGGAAAATGAAAGCATTGCTCTGGGTTACAACTCAACAAGGAGCGTGGAGGTTGTAAGACATTCCCACACACACGCGCATTCACATACATTTAAGTCCAGTCTCAGAGGACCAAGTGACTACAGTATTACACAAATAAAACCAGAGGATATAAAAATCAATTGTATTTGCTGATTAAAAACAGGTGAACTCCAAGTATCTCCAAAGGTCACATTACGATTCTTCTTCCTCCCGGTGTCCCACCCTGCTCCTTCATTCAGTTACAGCCTTTCCCAGTAGGCATAAAGTGCAACGCAACAGCTCACACAGCTCTATGTGATCCCATCATCATAATGCATCAAAGTCACATTTCTAATCATTTAAAGGTAATAGTGGCACTGCTCTTGCATGGCATCCATAAAAGCAGCACAATTGGAGCAGATGTGATTCCATCTGAAGCTTTATAAATGAGTGTGAGCGTGTGTGAGAGAGCATGCATGCTTCCACACGTGTATGCAGCTTATATTACATCTGTGAGTGTGTGTCGTGTGTGTGTGTCTGTGTGTAGTGTGTGTGTTGTGTGTATGAGCATGTGCATGTGTGTGCCAATACCATTCCATCTGATAAAGCCATGGCTGCAGCAGCCTCACACCCTTGTCTGTAGGACACAGCCATTTATTACCGGATTAGAGCCATTTACTACAGGCTTTATGGGAGCTTCAGCCCGGCCCTCAAGGACATCACAGCCGGGGAGAGGTGGGAACAGGGAAGGCGGGGAGCGGAGGAATGAGAGCCGTGGACGATGAGAGAGGGGTAAAGATGAAGGAAACCCCACAGAGTGAGGGAGGATAAGAGAAGGGATAGAGGTTCTTAGTCCCAGACAGGGTTTAATCTCTTGGGGGATGCCCTGTGTTTTGGAATTATGCCACCTGTAATAAACATATTATTAAATACTAAATTTGACAGGCACCATATGGAGTCATTTCCATACATATTGGAAAAAGTGCTTCTACCATACTTTGAAGACACGTGAAAAAGGCTACCTACTGACATATGTAACTATTGTGATGTCTATTTAATATAAAAAATGTCCCACCTTTATTTGATAGTGACTGTAGAGATAAAGAAATATAGGGAAGGAGAGGTATACAACACGAAAAAAGACAGAAATGAACCACAGCAGTTACAGTGATAATGTTATATCTTAACCACTACGCCACTGGATGCCCTGATATACAACTTTTAAAGGCCTCATCAATTCAAATGCTGGACACAAAGGGCATATAAAATGTGTGCACTTGTGAAAATGCATATACCCGTTTATAGACACGGTGAAATAAAAGGTACATTTTCCAAGTTCTAACCCTATCTCCCTGTGTTCATTGTTAACGTATCTCTTGTTATATGCTAAATGTATTATTATATATATATTATTAGCTCTGTTTTTGGTCTCTACCAACTCTGAAGGAAATATCTGGCTCTTTAGCTGTTAAATGCTCCTCTATGTTCAACCAGCTGGTTGGACAGCAGGTCGGACAGCTAAACAATGAGCTGTAACTCTATAAAGCTGAGAGGAGCAGCAGATTCAGGTGATTTTATTTTTTTTACATTATATTTATTAATTTAGCTGACACTTTTTTATCCAAAGCGACTTACAATTGCAATTTATGTCAGAGGTCGCACACCACTGGAGCAATTAGGGGTTAAGTGTCTTGCTCAGGGACACATTGTTGGACGTGTCACAGTGGGGAATTGAACCCAGGTCTCTCACACCAAAGGCTGGCGTCTTATCCACTGTGACATCACCACACCTTTTTTACCCCATCTTTAACCATGTAAGATCCATTGAGATCAGTGATATCTTTTACAAGGGTGACCTGGCCAAGACAGCAGCATAAAAAGGTTACTGATGAGAGGAACACCACAAGAAACATCTAAGATATACATATACACATCAAATAATTAGGTAACTTTAAAATAATTCCCTGCAGGTCACTACAAGCAAGCCCTTTAACACTGTTTTCATAGTGTCATTTGATAAATTGGTATTACAAAAATATTGATTATAGCAACCAAGTTGTATGAAGTTGTTTTGGCAGTTATCACAATGATTAACCATCGGCTAGCATCAACCTTTAAAGTTGATTGTTGCAAGTAAAAGAGGAACAAAGTTACTACTGTGACTCCCTCTTCAGAAAAAGTAAATGAATTATTTTTTAATTACAAAATATATCTTTTAGATATAACGGCCCATATTGTTTAAGGCCCTAAAAATAAATATCCTGTGTATTAAAGGGGTTACACGGAAAGCTTCACAACACCCTGAATCTACAGGATAAGTGTTTTTTCCCCTGATATCTGTTCTCTTCACTATGCAGATATAAAGTCAGCAGTGTAAGTATTAGGTGCTGGATATTTCTGCCGCATTCCCTTTGATTCTGACCTCAAAACGGACTCATTCGTTCATGTTTTAAAAATTAAGAATTCGCATTTATGCATCGGAAATTTAACAAGTAAATGAGTTTGGCTTCTAAAACTCTGGATGAACCTTGCTTTACACTTCTTTTACTATTGATTATAACGAAATATATCTCTACGAATGGCGATTCTTCTGTGAAAAGAATTCTTGTAGTTTTTAAACAAGGGCAAAATTTACATCTGCTCAGAACACTGGACCGGCCATCTAAAAGAGACACAATCCCCCTGCCCTGTGGTATTGGAAAACAAGGTAGAGAGACAAACATGTCCTTATGGGCTTCAACGGGCTTAAGACCTATCCGAATAATATAGCTCCATCACAGGCAGGAGGGAGGGATTGAAAAAAGATCAGACAGAAATGAGAAGATGAGAAAGCGACGGAACGATTGAGAGGATGAGTCAGGCTCAGACATAAAAACAGGTATAGAATGCGGCACGCAGGGAGACGTGAGGAGAGACCGAGATCATTCAAATCTCTTTGAGTGTGTGTGTGTGTGTTTGTGCGTATGCAAGCACACGGCGCACCTCTGTTTCTCTGCGTATGTGACTAGACTGTCTGTTTTTGTGTCTGCACGCGTCATTGTGTGTCATTGTTTGTGTGAGTAGTTGTCTGTCAGTGCATCTGCATGAACGTGTGTGTGTGTGTGTGTGTGTGTGTGTGTGTGTGTGTGAGTAGACATGCACGTGCATGTATGTATGGCAGTGTGGTGGGGAGGAGGGGGAGGAGGAGGGCAGCAAGCAGGGGAAGGAGAGACATGATATAAATAATAGCAGGGGGCTTTAATATGTATGAGGCATCCGGGCAGTGGTCCACAACACACTCTCAGCCCTCAGCCCTCACTGACTGATGGGAGAGGGGAGAGGAGAGAGGGAGGGGGGGGGGGGAGCGGGGGCTGCATACTAACCATTCCCAGATCAATTCTCTCCTCCCTTAATCTACCATCCTTCCTCCCTTCTCTTTACCCCATTTATCCCCTTTCTTTCTCCTCCCAGCCCCTATTTTTACTTCCCCATCCTCCATCTCTCCTCCCTCTAATTCTTCATCTTTCCCTGCCTCTGTCTCCTCTTCCTCTACTCCATCCAGCCTTCTCTTGCCCCCTCTACTTCCTCATTCCCAGGTTTATCCCCATGCTTCCGGCCTGGAGACGCGGTGAGAAGAAAAATTATACCTGGGGGCGCCAAGGGAGTGGACGGCAGGCTGTGCCCTTGGTCAAGGTACTTGACCTGGGCTAAGCCGACTAAGCAACCCCCCTGTCAGGGGAGAAGCCCAGGATGTAAGCCAGGGCAGAGGGGTCAGACAGGGGGGACAGGAGACGGCAGGGCAGGGGCGGTCCACAGGGGCGACATGCCCTCTAAAACAAACCACCAGTTACACTTTTTCACTCAGAACATTGTTTGTTTGTCTGTCCTTCCTCTCTCCCCTGTGTCCACCTCCACTCGCCAACAAAGTATATTGAAGTGTTTTTGTCCTCTCCCTCCCACCTTTTCTTTCATTCTTTTTTTGTACATTTTTCTTTCTTGTCGTATGTGTCCATAAACACACTATATGCTCCCTCTCATATATCCCCCTACCTCAACTCAACTCCTCACTCTATCTGCCCTTTTTGGTTGTCTCTCTTAGTCATCATAAAGCCCTTCGATCCCTGCTTGCTGTCATCTTTTTGAGAAGGTAAACGTGGCGTTGTATGTTTAAGGTTTTACGCGTAGTCTTCGATCATAAATAATTTCATTAGAATGCTGATGGCTTAGGCCCTGTTTGAGTAGATGTGATGGGTTAGGCCATCTGCTCAGCTGATAAGAACAGCTCTGTTTTATTAGCATCTCCACCAAAGCCTCGGCTGTCTTGTTTACCTAGGCAATCCCAGGGCGAATTTCATTCCTACTGCACATTTAAACTCTATTTACACACTCAGACTCTCCCTCTCCTCTTTACCACTGTCTCTCTTTCTCTCCCCTATTCCTCTCCTTTGTTTTCTTTCTCTCTCGTAATTGTCTGTCTGGTTCTATATGTTCCTCACTGTCTATCGGTACCTTTTCGTTCTGGCTTCTGGCTTCTACCACTCAACCTTCTGTTTCGGCTGGTTATCTACTTTTTTGCCCTTATATGTTGCACATTGTTAATGTAAGACCCAACAAACTTGCAGGTTTGTATTTTAAAAGCGTTATGGGCCAGTATAATCATTCCTCATACTGGCTGTGAAGAGATCTCCTGATGTGGAGCTATGCACATAGCTGTTGAAGCTATGCCCTTCCTCAAAAATGTCAGTGCACGTCAGAGCTATGGCGGCTACAAAGATATAAGATGGAGATTGTAAGAGCTTTGATTAGTCAGCATGGGCTTTTTGTGTTTTATCCTGCAAGTTTTCTCTGCTTGCACAGATTGTTGATACTGAATACAACATGAAAGAGTAACTTAACACCCCCAGAAAATCTTGTTTTTGACGACCTCCTGTGGTTTAACTCACCAAAACTGGTCAGGCTCTATAAGAAAGAGAGGATTCTTATGATCATACAAGTTTAACAGAGCAACTTGCAGTCTTGTTTATGCTGACCAACCTGAGTGGTTTAACTTCTGACCTTGCTGCAGTGATCAGTGATGTACAGTCGTACTCCAAGGTGTGTCAGTACACCATGACATCACTGTTGGGTGTGGCTACATCTCTGACCACACCCAACCTCACTCTCAAAATTACTCTTTGAACAAACCCTCAAATTGCTAATGTAATGAAGTAAGTAATAAAGGCAAGTAATGAAGGTAAATAATTAATAAAAGTATTATTATCAGTCATCCAGGGTTTGATCAGAGGTTAAACTTTCAACCAAAGAGGACAGCAAAACATTGCTTTTCAGCCTGGTTTTAAAATATTCTTTAAGGAAGTTGAAGAAAACAGTTTCTGCTCTGTTTCAGATTGAATTAAAGAACATAAAAACAATGATTAGACAATGCAAAACTTCCCACTGTTGCTCTATATCGTAGAAAAATCAGTTACTGTGAGAATACATTAAATGTCCTGTACAATACATACATATTCAGTACATCCATCTGGTGTTGCAAGGGTGCAATGAATGGGTGAAATTCAGTGCTGAACTATAAATAATATAATAATATATAATAATGCTGTAAGTATTGTTTGTGGGACACCAGTTAATTTCTTGTGTCAGGTATAAATTTAACTAAAGAGATGAGGGACACAACCTACAGTCCTTATTCTGCGCAAATATATCGGGGCTCATCAAGGAAGCACTGCCCACATTACACTGATTCATACATTTCATTCTAAAATAACTAACTTTGTAGTAACTTTGGCAGCTACCCACTTGATTTGTCCGCCCTACTTTACAATGCATTTTTACACAGATCAAGAGCTGTGGATGTTGTCCCCCATCTTTTACAGTGTAGTTGTTTTAGGAGGTGGCCACTTCACAGCCAGTATAGAAATGGTTACAGTGACCAATGACTCTTCTATTCTAATGAGACCGAGTAGAAAAAATCCAGACTTATCCATTAATGTTGCCAAGGATAGACCCTCAATCACAGCAAATGTCTACATTTAAAAAAACACTCAGTTACTTCTGTTATTGTAGCACTAACTTCCCTTTTTCTCTCTCTCGCTCATGCTGTACCGATTCTTGTTACTTCGAAACATCTCTCTCTTATCACACCTCTCCTGCTTTCCTCCCCCTCTCTTTCTCTCTCCGGCTGTCTCTATCTATCTTCCCATCCCCCTTGGTGTTTTTCCCCCTCCCTACAATCAATGTGGCTTTTAAGATGCCTATCGATTTGTTCCCCTAGACAGGCCCAGCGCGCTGGGGCGACACTTTGATTGCTGGGCCAGTAATTACTGTTATTATTTATGCATCTGGGCAAAATGGCAGGACTTAACATTCACAGTACAAGAGGCCACAGGCAATCAACAGAGGTGAGCACCTGGAGAGAGAGAGAGGGCGGTAGAGAGAGGTAGAGAGAGAGTAGCACTGCACCCGTGAGAGTTGCACTCCAGAGATGAGCGTGACGAGTGCAGTCAAAGATATTCACACTCACACACAAACACACACACTGCTGGGAGGGGATATGAACGTATAAGCAGAAGATAGGCACATGTGTGCAAATGCACTTGTATATAAAGGATTATTCTAATATGTGTGTGTGTGTGTGTGTGTGTGTGTGCGTGCAATGACATTGTCTTACCTGTGAGAGTCCCAGGTAGATAGAAACTGTCTCTGAGATGTAGAGGAACCGTCCCTCATGACTGACCACGAACACAAAGCCATCCAGAGACTGTGCACATAAAAAAAAACACATGTCAGACCCACCGACACACAAACACACACACACACACACACACACACACACACACACACACACACACATAAAGGCAAACAGAAACAAGACAGACAAATTAGAGCAATTAGTGTGTATCGAACAAATTACAATGAGCTAGAGAACAAACAACCCGTCACCCCTCGGCCTCTTCTCTCAATTCACAAGTGCACTCACACACACGCACATGCATAAATGTGAACAGACATGAAAGAACTCCCTTAGATGCAAGCTGCAGCTGTCAACAACCTGTATTACTAAACACACAGAAAACAGCACAGAGACAAAAATGCCACACACACACACACATAAACAAATAGCAAAAAAACATGAGGAGACTCAGCTTATAGACCAGAGCTGTTTCAATCAACTGTATTAAACTCAGAACCACAGCTTAGTCCTGGATCTCCGGCCACATACACACCACAAACACAAACCCAGACACTGGTACAGACACAGATAGAACCAGCATCATTACAGCCTGCAGTGATTCTAATGAGAAGTGAAAGGTATACAGCCAGACCATTAGAGAGGACTGCTTCAGAGAATAATACTAATCGTCATAACAAGCATCCGACACAGCCTCAGACACACACACAGACCAGGGCCACTTTGCTCTAGAAGAATGATTGCTATTTTGGCGGCCCAGTGCTTAAAGTGGCAGTGGTAATTTATGCAACTGACACATCCAGTATGCAAATGTGTGGCCAGGGTGTGGGGCGTCGTGTGTCGCGGCGAGGAGAAACCAGCCGCCTGAATGTCGGAGAACTAAAGTGCAATTATCAGGCTATTACGGCGGGAGGACGGCTGGGAGGGAAGAATCATACAGTTTTTCTGGAGCGTTAATTTGATTTCTATCAGCGCCGTTCCCTAAGCCTCCCTGCCTCTTTAAAATGCCGGAGGAGAGCAGACATATGTAACGTTTCTTTGTTTTACCACTACCTTCTCACTTCTAAATTCTCAACCTCCATTCCCTCTTCTTTTTTCCCCACTCTCTCTACCCGTTCCCACTCCTTCTGTACCTGTTTCTTACTTAGGCAAGGCAATGAAAAGCAAATGTATTTGTAAAGCACCTCTCAACGACAAGGCAATTCAAAGTGCTTTACAAAAGACATAAAGGCATTATGATCCTTAAAGTTTTCTTTATGCCTCTCTGCTTTGGTTGCTCTCCCAATCATCTCTCCTTCCTGAGCCTCCTCCTAGTTTAAACTACAGTCTGCCGTGTTACCTTCTTAGAAACTTCCTCTAAGTCTTTGTCTCTACATCCTGCATTTCGTCATCCCTGCAGCCCTCCTGCCCTAGAATTCCCCTCACACTGCATTCATCTGTCAGTCCAAAGGGAGGCATTCTTTGGCAGCCGACGATATCGTCCGAGCATCTGAGGTCTATGAGATGTGTGGGTGTCCGTGTGTGAATGTGAGAGCATGTGTTTGCTTGGAAATATAAGTCTGAGAGACTGAGGGATGAAACCTTGAGCTGGTACAAACTGTGATCACGCAATCCAGTCACTTATGAGACAAGTGTGCTTGTCTGTCAAGGGAAAAAACAGTTTCCCTACATAAGCATTAAAGCATAGCTGCTCAAAGAAAAAATATACATAGATTTTAAACTTTCCAGATAAACAGAGGGTTAAGAGTTCCTTTATGGGTTGAGAAAATCCTCCTACTTGTAAAACTAAATAAACCATCTAAAAACCCATTGTAGTATCTGAAAACTGTATTGTCACAAAGCTGAAAACAGGCAGTTTCTGGACACATGGTTTTCACGGACAAAAGATTACTCTCGCAAACCCACAAGTATGAAAACATTTCAAATACAAGTGTTAGTTAAATGATATTATTATAATCATAACAGAAGAAAATGGAGAGTGTGGGTGCTGTGGTGGTTACCTGCAGGAGGTGCGCCCCTAGGTGCTGCTCAAACATGTCAGTAGCCAGAGAATGAGACGATCGTCTTACTGTAGAGAGAAAGTAGACAAACACACGTCATACACTGACTGACATCAAATTTTACTTGATACTACATAATATAAAAAAGATTTTGAAGGGAGTGTTTTAACATCCCTAACCACTCAGATACAATTAAATCAAAAATATTTGAATATTTTTGACAGATTCTTACAACGCTGTAAAATAAAGTGTCTTTTAGTGGTGCCCTGGGGGTTTAAAGGTGGGGTAAATGATTCTAAAATGTCTGTTTGTCACAGTCAGTAAATATCTCCCGTGGTCTGCGCACTGAAAAAAAATCCATTGTTTGAACAAGGCTCTGGTTCTCTAAATGGCAAACAAACAAAGTGGCCCGGACCGCCCCACACAACACTATTCCAGCTGTTCTAGCCATGATTTGTGTATCATGTAACTCTAAATGACTTGCCCACGGAGATTCAGCTTACTTTCGTTTACCATGACATGCTGTTGTCGTGATGTTAGCGAAAGTAGCAGGAGAGTTGTGAGTATCACCTCATCGCCCCATGTTGGGCACCTTCCTATGGGTGGTGATGGTACAGTGGATAAGACACATGCCTTTGGTGTGAGAGACCCAGGTTCAATTCCCCCATTGTGACACATCTACCAATGTGTCCCTGAGCAAGACCCTTAACCCCTGGTTGCTCCAGAGGCGTGCGACCTCTGACATATATAGCAATTGTAAGTCGCTTTGGATAAAAGTGTCAGCTAAATGAATAAATGTAATCCTCTCTGCATGCAGCAGCAACTGTAACGTCAGTATGCTAACCCACAACTTAGCTAACGTTAATTACACTACTTACTGTGTTGTTGTTTGCTCTATATCATGATTTTTGTCATGGTGTTGGATACACCATTCACAAGCCTCGACTGCAACATCCTCATTGTCCCACTTTTGAGTTGTGTTGCATGTTCTTCCCCATCTCTCTCTTCTCTGATTGTCTGTCGTCTCTCTAATGTCAGCTCACTAATAAAATTATAATATGCCACGAGAAATGCTACTTTTTTAAAGACTTCTTTGATTTTTTGTATCCTTCCACTTCGAAAAGCTGAAAGTGTAAAAGCAATCACAGCATAAAAAGAGATGTATCCTTATGAATGCGGTTGCTTTGCGTTTTCTCAAAAAAGTAAGTAAGTTTCTGGGTAAGGAAATACTGAAAGAAATACTGCATATTGTAACTCTGTGAATATTTACAGTGACTAGCAGGGAACAGAGAGGTAATTAATAAACTTGGCAGTTACTCCACTTTCAGAATGGATTAATGCAGATAGAACATATTAATAATTATACAAAATCATGTGTAAATATGACTTGTATATGACTTGTTCACCTGTGGGGTTTCATAATCAAGTTGCTTCGCCATGCTGTCTTTAAATCTGCACTGAAATGAAAAGTGAAACTTGAACTAATCATGTCTGATAAACAGAAGAATCGACCTAAACGGTTGCATGTCTAAAAAAAACTGAGCATAAGGGGGGGCGTGCTATGTGACGCACACCACTCAATTGTTGCCAGACACGCAAACAAACATACGCACACACACACACACACACACAAACAGTGTCTGCATCGCCACTCTTAATGCATCCCAAACACAAGCTATCAGAGCTGCTTCAATGCCAAAGTGGTGCTGTTTACCAAGGCAATTACAATACAAATAGAGTTGGAGGTGGTTAGGTGCAGCGGGGTGAAGATAGGTAAGAGAGGAGTAGAGTGGCTACGGCCGGGAAAATGAGAAAACACTAAGGAAGGCGAGAGTGATCACTTTCTCCCAAGCAAATGCGGGCACAGGCGGCTGCAGTGACGTGAAAGATTAATTTAGCAATCAGCCGTATTTACTGTTTTATGTCAAAAAGAGTATGTGACGGTGTGTGTGTCCACCTGCAAGCGTGTGATTGCAAAAGTGGGGACCATACTAATCTCACTCCAACAGGGCTGTTTTTGAACACAATGTTCCTTATCCGACAGAGACAAACTATGTGTGTGTGTACGTGAAATGTGTGTGTGAGCACATGCATGCGTGCATGTGTGTGCCAGTGTGCGCGCCAGTGTGCGTGATTTTAAGGATCACCGAATGTGTGTGTGTGTGTGTGTGTGTGTGTGTGTGTGTGTGTGTTGCTGCAAGGCTCAAGGAAATCAATACACGTTATGACAGGAAAATGAAAGCACTGCTCTGGGTTACAACTGAACACAGAGGGAGGGTCGAATCACACACACACACACAAACACACACACATATATACATTGCCCAGCTGCCTGTTTGTGATGTGGCTTCGGAGAATAGAAGAGGGAGGCATTCCATTAGAGCTGTAGACACACACACACACACACACCCACTTACACACACACCTTAGGAATACGCACAGCAATGAATTCTCATGCACAGACTACACAGCGGCAACATGCCCTCCGATTAAACAACACAAATACCCGCAAACACACACAAACTCTCTCACACACACACACACACACACATACATAAATACAGAGTTGCCGGACAAAGCCACAGTGGCATTGTGAGATTGGGGTCCCCCTGTGTGACAGAGTGTGAATATAAATAAGGCAAGTCCATTCAGGGCAATGAAAGGGGGTCTGGTGCTGGGACCCTTCAGCCTAGCCAGTCACTGCCCGGAGGGGGGATGGGGAGCTCATCTCCCTCTCTGCCTGCCTATCAGGCTCCCTTGTAGGGCTGTGATGGAGCTGTAGTGCTTGGGACTCTGGAGGAAGCAACCCGCATCTTGACCGTATGAGAATAAATGAAAGAGGATACACACACAAACTGTAATGTTAGTTTGTGCACGCCTCACAACTGAACAGAAATACATGGAGTGTGTGTGTGTGTGTGTGTGTGTGTGCGTCTTGAGTTTCATGTCACAGATCCCTGGAGGAATGAAGGTGATGGTGGGTGATCAGTAGTGCTGAGTAGTGTCAGCGGGGCGGAGGAAACGCTGAATGTGACATGAGGCCAGGAGGGCTGACGGATGAGTCTACACACTCACACACGCAAACACACCACACAAATACACAGAGGACCATTTATTAAAGACAGCCAGGGTACAATAGGGCAGCCAGGAAACCAAAACACTGGCCCGGGTGTGTGTGTGTGTGTGGATGCATGCACTAACGTGTGCACATGTGAGGAGAGAGAGTCACAGCGGTGTTGGTATCACACCCTGAGAACAAAGATTCTTCTGTAGTGGTGCTGTGAACCCCTACTTGGTGTGTGTGTGTGTGTGTAAGAGAGTGAATGCTGCATTATCACTAAAGCCGACATATTGCTATGTTTCTTTGCACGTTAACGATACCAACTATCAGTGTAAAAAGCAGGAAAGCAGATGCCCGTGTTCTACCACACGTGCATGTTCACGATACAAAACAGGGACACACTTGTAAAGGCATTGCTCCACAAGGTACCATTAATTTGAGGGTAGAAATTGTGATATGGGCTATTACTTAATTGAATCATGTAATCTTTACATTTATTCATTTTCATTCATTATCCAAAAGCAACTTGCAATTGCTAGACATGTCATGGGTCACAGTGGGGAATTGAACCCAGGTCTCTCACACCAAAGGCATGGGTCTTATCCGTTGTTTCATCACCAACCCTTTACATGTAATAGTGAGAAGAATTGCCCTGCTGGGCTCTGAAAAGACCACTTACAGAGAGAGGATTTGCACTGAGTATTGGTTTAGGTAATCTGGCTAAACTGTCATCGTTTACAACCTGCCTGATTGTCTGATGACTCATTCCTTGCCCTGTCTGACATTGCTGTAGCGTTGTTGTCATGTTCCCAGATCGCAGCAATTACTTTGGCAAGTACAATGTTATCATAGAAACAGAGTGACACAAACAAGAAAAGAAGACTCAAGTTCTTTAAAACAGTTGAGTTTAGTACTTCTGCTTATGTGTACATGCATGTAATATGTACATGCTTGTGTACAGAGCTGGACGCGGACCTGTGTATGTGCGCCTGAGCTCTTTGATCGCCCCTTTCTGTCACACATCCATTTCATTAGCTTTCCCTGGACTCCACCACGAGGTTTAATTTGATTGTGGGAATAGGAGACTGGGCGCGATCGGACACGTTAATTATAGTCTGACTCGCAGGTCAATTCTAGGGGTCTCCCCGGCGCTCCATGAGGAGAAAAGATAGAAATTTAATTTGAATGATTTTCATTATACCTCTGTCTAATACATAATTTAGTCCCAGTTAAGTCCATAAGTAATGGCCCCACACAAGAACACACACCTAAACATCCCGTATCTACATAGGCATATCTATACACACACACACACACACACACACACACACACACGCTGTCTTCCTTTCAACCCCCACAGTGTCAACCTTTTTAACCAGGTCAGGATGTTACCATGGGAACCAAACAGATAACAGACGCACTGAACCCCTCTTTCTTTCTCTCAACATCCCTCTCTCTGTCTTGTTATCCATCTTTGTCTCTCAAGTCTGGCTCCGGCTGCCGTAGTTTCACCCTTGCAAAACAAGAGCCTGATCACCTGCCAAGTTGTTTACTATAATCCAAATGTGACGATTCGGCTGTTCGACAGACAGAGAGAGAAAGAGTGACCCTAATCGCAGCGTCCCTTCTCTGGCGCAATTATCTTCTCGCTCTGACATCCATCCCTCCCGCCTTCCCTCTATCTCTCCTCTATCTCTCTGTCTCCCCTCTGTCGCTCCCTCACTCCTTTTGCGGTCGAACATAATTTGAGTGCAATTAACTTCCCTTAAAAGCCCCGGCTGCTTTAAACGCCGTGAATTAGAGGGGAGGCAGATGCAGGGAGGACGCAAAGAGGGTGGGGGGGGACAGAAGGGAGGTGAGGGCGACAGAGGCAATGAAAGAAAGGAGAAGAGGGAGGAAGAGAGAGAGAGAGGGAGCAAGGGGATGTGGAATGAAACTCAATGTCACCAACGGGGACAAGAGAGGTGTGTTTGACCTCACTAACAGAGACAGTAAAACACTTCAGCT